TACTACGACGACTCCTCGTGGCCAATGAACCGTCCGTGGCGCATCGCGTCGCGTATATCGACGTGCAGCCACTTTTTCCTTTCCCCCCTCCGCTCCTCATCCCACCCCACCCTTTTCATCATCTCCCGACCGCATTTCTTTTCGACGAAAGAGAGAATTCGGACAAATTTTTCCTCTCATTTAAAATAATCCTTATAATTTTTTCTTTTGAACCTTACGATCGATTGTTTCAGCTACGAAAACAATATATCGAAGTCGCTTCGAGAAATGACGAGGAATCGTGACAAAAATATTAATGGCCGGTTGTAAAAATAATACCGAGTTATTGTTTCTCACGCTTTAGTTATCATTTGGTTAACGTCGCGAAATAAAAGGAAGAAAAGATAGCGATAAGGGAGGACGTTTGACGATGCAAAACTCACGACGCGGTGTGCTAAGCGTATAATAACATATATCATTTTCTTAATATTTGTACACATTTTTAAAATTTATCATTAGTCGAGCGGGAGATGGAAATGTAGGGCGGATTAAAAGGCGCGCGCGCGCGCGCACACGAGAGAGAGAGAGAGAAAGGGAATAACATATCGAATCGAACGTTCGCTTTTGTTATTATGACGAACGAAGCTCTGTTCTGGATTATCGGTGGAGATTAACCAATCGGATATCCCAAGAGATTATGGAAAAAAGAGTGCGATCGGTAAGGAAATGGGAAGAAAAAGGCGAAGAAATAATAAATAAAAAGAAAAAAAAAAAAAGAAAAAAAAAAAGAAAAAGAAAGAAAGAAGCGTGGTGGAATCGAAAAAGAAACATAGAGTACGCTCACCTTGTCGGCCGACGATCTCAGCCACGTGCTCGCTACTGGGCACCGGCACGCACTCGGTCATGTTCTGGCTCTTTTTCGAACGGGCCTCCTCGAAGACGCTGCTTGGTGCCGTCTGTAGAGGATCGGGATCGGCGTTGGTACCGGGTACGGTGGTGGTTCCGCTACCGGGACATCCGGGCGTGCCCTCGAGTCCGAGCATCGAGAGCTCGAAGGCAAGCTGAAGGGCTCGTTGCTCCTCGATCGAGCCGGCTCCACCGCCATTCGTACAGCGATCCATCTCGCTGAACAGACTCGTCGGCATTTTTATATCTCTCTTTTTCTTCTTAATTTCTCTTTTATCTTATTTCTTTAATTTCTCTCTCACGCCTATGTCCGCTTTATATTTTCTCCGTTCTCACCTCGATGTCGCGCACCAACACACCACTTTTTTTTTGAATTTTGAAACAACGGCTCCTTTGGTCCGTTCGTCGATCGGTCGGTCCGTCCGTCCGTCCGTTCGTCCAATTAAAACGTTCGTCGTTCGCGTTCACTCGACACGAGATTTGAAAACGGTTTCGCGCGCGTACTCGGAAAGAGAGGAAGCAGCAAAGGGAAAAGCAGCGATGCACCGTATAAAAATAACGAGCGTCGTCGTAGCCGTGGTAGTCGGTCTTCCCTCCCTTCTTTTCCTTGCCTTTCCACTCTTCTCTTCCGTTCGCTATCACTGCGCTCTATCCGACTCTCCCTCCCCCTCTCTTTCTCTCTCTCTCTCTCTCTCGCTCTCTCTCTCTCTCTGTTCGTTTCTCGTTCGTTCGCAACGAGAAGTTACTTTTTTCCTCTGATCAACGCACTCTGAAAACAGCACGAACGAGTAGGAATAACTCGTGATACTCGAACGATTCACTCAACGTACGACTGTTTCAAAAGATAGAGAAAAATGTTCGTTCGCGTTCTCGGCTGCAACTACCGGTCGTCGTCGTCGTCGTCGCGTCGTCGTCGTCGTCGTCGTCGTCGTCGTCGTCGTCGTCGTCGTCGTCGTCGTGTGCGCAGCGCGCCTTCGAAATTCGTTCGTTCGTTTATCCTTCTTCTTTCTTACGACTTCTCGTAACGTTTTTTTCCAATTCTTTCTCCTTGTCGCATCGAAATCGTTCGTACGTCGTATGACGATGATGATTATCGGCACGTAGCTCTCGTTCCTTGCAAAGCGTGCGTTCCTCTAGTATATCTTTCTTCCTTCTTTTAGCGACCGCGAAACAGAGAAGCTGACTCAAATTGTCCGAGAGCGTCGTCGCGCGACTGAAGCACACTACTGACAAACAAGAGCTAAGAGACGCGATCTCTCTCTCTCTCTCTCTGTCTCTCTCCCTCCGTCTACACGCACGCCTTTCTTCTTTCTCCCTCTTTCCGACGAAGCCGGCCGTGCTTCTTTCTCCTTCCTACTATCGGCCCACCAAGCAGCACTCTCGTACTCTCCTCTCTCTCTCTCTCTCGCTCGCTCGTTCGTTCGCTCGCTCGCTCGCTCGCTCGCTCTCGATCTCGCTCCGCGGTCTTTCCTCTCGAAGGCAGGCGCGTGCAACTACCCTCTCGCTCGTGTTAGCACTGCGACTGACTGCGACGTACTGCGACTGCGGATGCCGAAGCCGGCGCGTCGCCATGTGCCGGACGCCGGTTTTGAACGCAGCTGATTGGCTGGAACGGTCACGTGGCCCCGACGCCGTTCCCCTCCGAGCTCTCTCCCGTAGCCTCGCCGGCAACCTCGCCGCCAACCTCGCCGCCGGCCGGCCCCGTTCGGCCACCTTCGTGCTCCTTCGTGTTTTCTCGTCGTCCTCCGGCGGCCGCGTGCGCCGACGACGCGCTGTGCTGCCTCCTATATTCCTCTCTCTTTCTTCTTCTTCTTCGTCATCTTCCTCTTCCTCTTCCTCCTTCTCCTCCTCCTCTTCTTCTTCTTCGTCTTCGTCTTCGTCTTCGTCTTCGTCTTCGTCTTCTATTTCTTCCTCCCTCGGACACTCGCTTCGGCCAACGATGCTTCGCGAACTTTCCCTACTCTCGTCGCCAAACACCCCCGCCGCACTCGGCACTATCATCTCGTCGATGTCTCGTCGCGCCACGCCGACTATTCTCTTCCGGAGCGACGAACCCCCGCAGGAACTCTTGGAAGTGATACCCTTCGATCGTGCGACCAACAAATATCGTTTCCAATGATCCAATTTGACGAACGAAACTCGACCAAACTATGCGAACCCAAGTCTTTCCTTTCTTTTTTCTTTTTTTATCTTTGCAAATTCTCCCTTTCGCAACCCCCGCGAGCCTCGCAAAGATCCAACTCGCGTGCTATCATCGACGAGAAGGGAAATGCAACAGGAAGGAAATTTACGACTCCGTAGGAATAATAGCGATGCATCGTTCAGGTCGTAAAGCTTGTTCGCATCGTTCGTGCCTCCTATCAAGCCATAAATTAAACGCAACGTCGAGCATACCCCAAAGGAAAGCTCTGCCGGATATCAATAGGAATGCGAGCTCTCGCTCCGTTAATTATTTCTTTCACGAATCGTTTTCTCTCTCTCTCTCTCTCTCTCTCTCTCTCTCTCTCTCTCTCCAACGGCAGTCGCTACCGATCCTTTGTCTCTCGTTGGGAGGTAAAAAAAGGGGAGGGGGAGGAGGATTATAACAATGATTCGATAAGTCGACGACGAGTATTTGGCTATGTGCAAAGGGTTAACAAATTTGCGGTGGAAGTGCTCCCTCCATGGAATAGTAGCCCTAACTTCGATCAAAGCTAATGGAATTACTTCGATTTGTGGTTAACGGATGAACGAGTAAATCGAGAACTCAAAATCGTTCGACGATTCAGCCGAGTTAAGTTTCGTTCGATCTATCGTCGTTTAATTCGACGTCGGCATCTTCTTTCTCGCATAAAAAAGAGAAAAAAAATAACGCATTGATTAAAATAGAAAAGTTTGATGAGATAATTCGACTAGAAACTAATACATTCGTTTACGTGTTATTTTGTAGAAACGTATAAAGCGTGGAAAAATACGCAAAACCGTATACCTGCGATCCAGTCTTCTCTCGAATTGCCAGTTCGATTGGTCAACACCTGTTCAGGTAGCGGTTTTGTTAAGTAAGAGAAAGCAGAGAATTTGGCTAAAACGATGCAGAGAGAAGAGAAAAGGACGATGGACCTTGAACCAAGGTGCAAGCCGTGTTTCATTGTTCTCTGTCGACGAACCTTCGTTTTCTCTTATATTATCTTTTTTCATCGAACGGTCGTTCGTTCGTTCGTTCGTTCGTTCGTTCGTTCGTTCGTTCGTTCGTTCGTTCGTTCAGCCTTCGACTTTTCCGTGAAACCAACGGCTTTTATCTCATAGGTAGAACCGTTCCTTTTCTCCCACGGCTAAAAGACTCTTATTTTGATGAGGAACGTATTTAGTATCGAGTCGAGATAAAAATCGATAATTCGTGACTCACACGTATGCGGTACGAGTGTATATATCGTAAACGAAATTATTTCGCGAATAAATAAATTCGTGGCCGATCGTTGAAAATTCGATGAAATTAATCTAACAACGGCAGTCCACGACAAACGCATTATAGGGCAACGCTCGAAAATTGGAACGGGCATCGATTCGTTTCTTTGCGCCTTGTGATTTCTCGAAAACACGTAATGGTAACAGGACGCTAATATAGATATTCGATTGCTTTTATCTATCCATGTCGATACATGGGATTTATAGTTTAGCATCGGTTTACATAAATTTCATGGAAGTATCCGATATTTATGATATCGTCGCGTTGGCGTCGAAGCAACTACATCTATACGATGAGCAAGCTTCCCCGTCATCCTATATTTTCCGAATCTTTTTTTAACTTTCCATCCTTTTTTAATGACTCTTGTTCGATCCTTTGAAAATGGAACGTACCTATTTTTCATGTACGAGATGATGACGCGTTCGAAGAAATTATGGCCAATGAATAATAGAATGAGAAGCATGGATTATCGGCACCTAATTAACCAGGCGATAAGAAATAATAGGTACATAGAAAATAAGATAAGATAGAGATAATAAAAAGAGTAAGAGAGAAAGATTCATTGAATTTCACGATCGGATTCGGTCGAGCGAGCAAAGGCACGATTCGAACGACTAGCCGAGCGACTAGCCGAGCGACTAGCCGACCGGCTGATTTTGTTTCTCCTCGCTCGTCCAATCCAACGACCCGTGGTGCGTCTCTTTCTCTCTCTCTCATTCTCTCTCGTTCTCTCTCAAGGCTGTCTCGGGACGCCACCTTTTGCCCAGGGGAGCACCTGCCGAGCGTTCTCGCGCTCCTACCTCCTCACCCGCTCGTAAATACCCCCGAGTTATCGTGTTTTCGAAGCTCGTTACGAGCCGTACCGATGTTTCCGTGGCTTCCTCCTCCTCGTCGATGCTTCCTCGAGAGCTCTCATCTCGACGAACCACGAGCGGAGTCGCACGAAATAAGACGAGCTTTGCCCCATTCGGAATCAGCCAGCAACATCATCGGCGATACTATAAAAGCCCTTTTGTTCCCAGCCGATGTATCTCCTCCGATATCGATGCACAGGCATAAGCGATCTCTTCTCTTTGGCTAAAATCGAGGAAAACAAAGGAACATTATCGCGTTTAACAATACGATTTGAATTTCGTCGTAAGATAAGATATGTTCGATATAAGAAGTACAGAGATCGTGACAATTGAAAAGGGCTTTATTACTCATAACGGTATAGACTTTTTAAAGACTACAACATACACGTTGTATTAATAAATGTTATTGAATCTTGTCGTCTTGGGACAGATCATATATCTCAATGAGAAATAGATAAATATTATTAGTCAAAGTTTCGCTGGAAAGGTAATCGGTTATCAAAGACCTACTCATCGTCAACAAAACAAATGAATCATTCCTTTCCCTGTCATTCTTCCCTGTTTACCAATAAAATTGTTTTTCAAAACATCGAATGTGTTATCGAGTTTGTCAAATGTGAAAAATAAGATGAGAATGAATAAGATGAAGGAGGGATTAAAAGGGAATGAACCTTTGGAAATAGTTGCCTTCCCGCAACGGCGCGCCGATCAGGATCCTCTTCGGCGTTCCGCGTCGTCCAGCGTATTTTTAGCGCGTGCAACCGGTTGCCTTCCACGGCGATCATTGTCGTTGCTTTGCGAAAGCGCTCCCAAGAGCCGGCCCTCCCGTCCTCGGCAAGGTGTGCAAAGCCGATGTAGCGCTGCCGCGGCGCTGAATCGCTTTCGCGCGACCGTGCGAGAGAACATTTCTTTCGATTTCGATCGAGCAGGGTGTAACAACGCGGGAGAACCGCATTGCTGGCCTCTGAGTCGGCTGCCGTCTGACAATGAGTTGCTTCTAGCCGCACCGACGACGACGACGACGACGACGAATTGGAAAGATTCTTCTTTCGATGACGATAGATGATCATTCTTTCATTCCTTGCGACGCAAGATTATTACTTAATCTCCTATCGACGACAATATATATCAAACGCGTGTGCATTCTATTTTTATAAAAAAACCTTTAGATCTGATCGAATTGACCATATTTACAATCATCAACGCAATCGCGGCGATTAACTTTTTTTTTTATAATTAATATTCGATCATTTGTTACATCAAACGATCATCGACAAACGTGCGATCTAATGCATTCTATTCGTGTTTTCATAGCTCGCGAGACGGTCCTTTATAGGAGAGAGAGAGAGAGAGAGAGAGAGAGAGAGAGAGAGAGAGAGAGAGAGGACAGACAGACAAACCGCCGAGAAGAGGGTTTCGGTCAGAGACGCTCTCGGCCATACTCTCCAGTGCGGGAGGCCACACGATTTTGCGGGTAACCGGATATTAAGCGATAGTCGATCGATATCTCGATAATTCGCTCTCCCGGATAGATGCATCGTTGCGTTCGCAATCTCTAGGACGTCCTCGACCTTGTCCCCTTCCTCCTTTGAGTCGTTATATTACGACGACGACGATCGGACGTTTTTTCATGAAATATCATCTTTTTTATCTTTTAATAAAGGGAGATCAAAGAAATCGTTCGAGTTTAATAAAACATTATTCTCCTTTGTTTTCGAAAGCTAATGGAGATGGTTTTCTTCTACTTTATTTAAACGTTATACATTTTGTAATCCACCACGAGACGAGTGCATACAGAACGTAAATTTTTCTTGCGTTCGGAAGGTTTCTTGCGACACCCTTGCTAGTGTCTGGAGTCTGTGGCACGAGAAGGGGAAGAAAAGAGAGAGAGAGAGAGAGAGAGAGAGAAAGAGAGGGAGGGAGCAGTCTTCGATCGAAAGAAGAACTTGGTTGTAGGAGAAGCGAAAGGCGGAGGGTCGAATGGAGACGACGAAGAAACGTAGAAAAGGGAGCGCGAGCGAACGTCGAGAGAAGAGGGCCGCTTTTCAGACGGTTCAATAGATTTCGATCTTTTTTCTGCGCTCGAAACGAAACGGGACAACAATGGAGCCAGACGGAAAGCGAGAGCGGTCTTTAAGCTTTCCTATGTACTATGCTCGATAAATAAAAATGTCCTGGGTATATAAAATATGTATACGTAGGTAGGTATACGTATATATTTTGTTATATATAAAATATCGAGACTGTAAAAAGAAATGTTATCTTTGAAGAATATTAATATCGTTATACATATATCGAAAATCGTTAGATGTTTTCCTATGTAAAGACGGGCTATATAGAGAGGTTTCATTGTGTGGGGGCCTGTAAAACGGAAAAAGGGAAACAAATGGAAGGTAGAGAAAAGATTTCGAGATAGGTCCCAAGAGCGGAGGCTGCGGAAAGCTTGACGTGTTCCGTGTTCGAGCGAAAACCCATGGCTATGCGTGCGTGCATTCTCTCTTCTTTCTCTTCTCTTCTCTTCCCTTCCCTTCCCGCCCCCCCCCTCTTGCCTCTGGACCCCTCTCCTCTCTCTCGCGCAGCCTACGAGAGAGAAAGTCAGTCGACATCGATTACGTGTTGCCAGTTGGGAGTCGAAGGTCCCCCAGCTGTTCTTCCATCGAGACCGATGGACCAACGCCTCCTTTAGAGAACGTCGATTTTTCACGTCTCTCGGGTACATCGGCTGCGAGAGAGTCCACTCTTTGAGAGATGACATTCGCCAAACAATGAACTCTTCTATGAAGATTGAAATAGACGTAGGTAAAGGATCGATAAAATAAAACTTTACGATCTCGAGACAGCCGCATGACTCGTACAATCCCTCCAACATGTCTACATCTAATTTTCATTTTTGATAAAGTACGAGACGACTCTTAAAGATCGATTGCTTAATGAGAAAATAATGAGGAAAAAATATGTGCACGATTCATTTTCAATTGACTTGCTTCCTTTGCATTTGCACGTATCAGCTTTGGTATTATTTTCGTGCCGTTACAAACGAACGGTGCTGCTGTTGACTGCCATTCCCAAGAGACAGATGTTTCGTGAAAAATCGTACTCGCTTCCGGTCGATTCGAGACTTCGAGGCGAACGCCTATATACCCGCTGGTCAACTCGGTCAGCTCGCTCGACTTCCGTCGGTCGAACGCCTGCTTGAAAGATCGATAACGCTTCGTTCTACAGTTCACTCTATTTATATGCTAGTATCGCACGAGACGGATTATATTCTCTATTAACTTCGTTTCCTCTTTCTGCAGAGAGAGAGAGAGAGAGAGAGAGAGAGAGAGAAAAGTTGCAAAGTTGCAAATAATCAGACTCAGAATTTTGATCATTTAACCAAGTTTTTTTTCTGCTACTTCCTGTTCTTTGATTAAGGCTACATCGGAATATTTGTCTTCCTTAAGAAAGAACAATAAATCAATTCCGGCTAACGAACCATTTGTACGACGTATTGCTATCAAGAAAAATACGATGTTCCTCGAAATTGGGCACCCCGACGTCTTTTCTCGTGCTCATCAGCCTCGAGCTAATCCATTCGATCCTACCAAGGAGGAAACTAAGGGTAGTGGAATGAGAATGAATCGCGTTGAACCGTAGGGTGTCGCGTACGTCACTACGATGCGGGTTTTCCGCCATTATAGAGCCAATAGAGCTACAATTTACTCGTCCTTCCTTCGACTTTAATATTTGTACGTACTAGTACAGACGCACGCATAAGAAGATAGATTGAAAGGGGAGAAATGAAACGAGTCGCAAAGATTTAAAAATGGTGCAGGCCGAGGGCAAGGAACGATCTGGTTCGATCGCGACGTCGAGAAGGAAAAAGGGCAAGCCTTTTGGCGAAACGCACAGGGAAACAGCTGTTGGACGATGATGGTGAGAAAAGGACGACGAGGTTGAGGGCCTCGAAGAATATGAAGAGGGAGGGAGGGAGGGAGAGAGAGAAAGAGAGAGAGAGAGAGAGGGAAAAAAAAGAAGGTTACCACCTGGCTTACCTGGCTGTTCGTTCTGGCTTACCTGAAAAGCTGGCGATACGCCATTGTATGTACTATATACCTATTATATACCTGGGGGCCTCGGGTATTTCTTTTGTTGACGAGTCGAGCTTCGAACGAAGGCATCTCGTCTACCCGTTCCCAGACGATGGCACGAGTCTCTCCTCTCACTTTCTTTTTCATTTTATCCTCTCTCTTGCTAAAGCACAACAACGCAAGTTCACTCTTCTTCTCTTATTCTTATCCGTCTTTCCTTCGTACGCGAAATAGTTTTTTTGTTTCTTTTTTTCAAATGATTCGAAAAAAGTCGTCCTCTTCTTTTCGCGCTTCTCTTCTGTCCCGTCTAGCCGTGAGACCTTGCGCGTCGTTGCTCGAGCGTAAAGTCGTTTGCAAGAAAAAAAAAGGGCTTTATTGACCCGGGCTCGTTCGCCCTGATCGTCGAGTACCGACGATTTCACTCTAGGTACTCTCTCTCTCTCTCTTTCTCTCTCTCTCTCTCTCTTTTCTCCGTCACTCGACGAGAATTGCGAAGAAAGATTGAATCGCTGCTAAAGAGCCAAGCCCTACAGCGTAATAATAAATATGCCCTTCTCTTCCACACCCCATTCCGTTCTTTTTCTTATTCCACCTTTTCCTCTGCTCAAATTATATATGTAATTGCAACGAGATTTTAATGGGAGTCTACATTTTATTTCCGATTACTGTAGGTCGAGTTTCTTGCTCGCATCTAAAGCGTTCTCGAACGAATCGTTTCATTTCTATCGCATGCTTAGTCTTGAAATATTTAGAGTAGTTTGATCGATTTTAAACGCTGTCTACCTCTTCTCCTCCCTTTCGCTTTATTTCCTTCAATCTCGTTTATATCTTCTTTCTTTTTCTTGGCTTGTACCAGAACAAGATCGAATTTCCTACTACACGCTCGATCGTTTACGACAATATCGGATTACGAGTGGTTGTCCTTAGCGCTTTCCAACATGAACGATTTCAATCTGATTAATTTGATCTTTCTTTCGTGCAACTCAGCTGAAGGAAGTTTAATGACCTAGAATCCGATTGCGTGTGCATCTTTCTTCGAATGTTGCGTCTCGTATTTGCGAGACATTACGTTACGTTGCCTGGATAATGCCAGACGAGAAAGTTGCTGGATGGAATATTAAATATTGCGATAGAGAGACCAGTTAACGCAGGTAAGGACGCATTAATCAGAATTTTAACATAATAGATTACAAATCGTGATTTTTCTGTGGAGATTAAGTATTTGCCCGAAAGGAATCGACTTAAGACTAAATTAGCACACAAAAAAACGTTCCACCTTGACGCCGACTTTTTCTTTTCGATCTCTCTCTCTCTCTCTCTCTCTCTCTCTCTCTCTCTCTCTCTCTCTCTCTCTCTCTCTCTCTCTCTCTCTCTCTCAATTTTTGCTCTTTTTTCCTTTTTTCATTTTCTTTTTTATAAAACATTTATTATAAAAATTGATGCGTGATATAAATTAAAATGAACTTAAAGCTAAAGAATGTATTATCGATAATATAGCTAAAAGAGACTTTACGTAGGCATCCCTCGTAAGGCTTCTTGTAATTTTTTTCTCGCTAGCGCTACGCGATCTTCTTGTCGTTTGATGTCTTCATCCGCTATAGAAACAGCCTTTAAAGACATACCATTTTGACGATTAGATTTAATTAAAACGTTCGACCGTGAGTACGAATATGATTGTTTAAAATCATTACGATGTTAAAGATTAAATACTCTGTCAAAAGTTATAGACTCTTCTACCTGTACGAGGGGTTGATCGGGATTAAGAAATACACCAGGATTTTTTTCCAATGCCGTTTTAGATCCCGTTTGACCCGTAACCGGTTGTGAGGATACGTGAAGAGCCGTTGCCACACTTTGCAACAATGTTTCTTCGGTTATGTAAGGTCCAACCGGCCTTAGGGACTTCGGTAGATCCATTGCATCAAATTCGTATCCATCTGGGTCGCAAGCTCTTAAGCCCTCTAAACGTTTTTCCCAAAAAAGCTGGAAAATTACGGTAATAGTTAATTAGGATCATAAGATTACCTTCAAGGCCAAGGGCTTATATATTGGAAGTAACTAATGTATAAAATAAAAGTATATAATTACCATCGATGCTACAACAAAAGGTTACTTCACAAAATAAATGTCAAACTGTATACCTTGCAAGGTGAGTGTTACGTGTGGGAAAAGTAAAGTAGGAGAAAATTTAAAAGCTAGTAGAAATGAAATTAATTTCTAAAACGTACCAACAAATCCATCGCATCGACTTTCTAAGAGAAGCATTTGCATCATCATATATCATGGTATGCGCAATTACAATGCATTACAATAGGGTAATCGATGCAAAGTTTTCACAAAAAGTAGGATACAGTAACGTAAAAATCATACGAATGTTTTGACGAGCGCGTTAAATAGAATTACCTGCTTAGGCTTATCTTGGGAGCCGTATTTGCCATCAGCTTTATCGGCTCCTTCCTAAGGGAACGATTGGATGTTTGTAACATGAGAATCAAAAGGGAAGGCACACAAAATGGTTTCAAATGTTTCCTATATTAGAGCGATCCCTTCTTAGAACGTTTCTCTGATGTACATAAATCTTTGGAAAAAGCATGCCATATTTTTAAGTATCATACGTATGGATGAAGAACGGAGAGAACGATTCACTGCGGTAGGGTGTATCAAAATCGTAGTAACTTGTCTCATAGAGATTACTTAAAGTGAAATAAAAGTAGGTGCTAGCGGATTCCATATAAAAGATACATTATCAATATGAAAAACCATTTCTTATAAGGTCAATACCAATAAGGAACCAGCTTTATGTCCCATTAGTACGTCCGTCTACTAACCTGTTTTGGTTTCTCTTGATTACCATGCTTTAAATCCTTTACTTTTCCCTCTTGCGTTTTGTATATAGTAACCGGCTGTTTAAATATGGAAGCCGTTTGCCTTATAGGTGGTACCAATGATGCGTCGTTTCTTACACCACGGCTAAAATCAACGAATATAATCAATCGAACGAATATAATCATTAGACATAACCAACAATTTATCACTTTCATACGATTAATCCCACCAGTGAGATTTTTTATACGAGGTTTCACTTAAAACGTTCTATACCGTTTTATAAATAATATTATAATTATCGTTAAATACATACCTGTAATAATAAACATCAACTTTTCCCGTAGACGTTAATTGATTTTGACTTTTTCTAGCTGTTTCCTCCCTCGTTGACCAATTCGTTGGTAATGCCGAAGGATATTTCTTTTTCTCCACAGACATATTCATCTTGTTGACTATTTTTATTACACTAAATAATATATAAATGAGCTAAAATATGGGATCAAAATGTAATGCAACGCGCTTTCTCGGCGGCCATATTGTAACTTATCGCACCGGTGAGCGTTTGCCAAAAATCCGTTCGATCCGGTGGCAGCACGCTCGCTTCGATACGTAGTTATCGTCAAATGGCGCTACGATCGACAGTACGAATTATTATACGAAAGTCGTAGGAACGATTACGTTTCTTTGTTAAAAAAGAAAAAAAAAAAAGTACTCGAAGAAAAAGTATGAGGGTAAAAAGATAAACAACAAGTCGAAATATATATATATATAGAGAGATAGATAGATATAGATGATTTAATTGCCGAAAAAACAAATCTCGCATAGTTATAGGAACGATATGAAAAAGTGATGAAAGAAAACATTAATAGTCGGCTGTCTTTTGTCCGGTTATAAATGACCGTTCTTTCGATTAGCGCGCAATCGGTACGCGAAGCACGAGTAGTTTCGGAGGTATAATAATTCGATGAACGCGGGATAGGAATAAAAGGAGAAAAATTGTAATCGTTGCAGGCATCAAATTTGCGATTACTTTTGTCCGCGTTGTGTATGTATGTTTTTTCTCTTCTTCTTTCTTTCTTTTTTTCTTTTTTTTTTTTCATTTTTTTTTTTTTAATATTACCGTAAAAGAATATCGATTCTGTACACATTGATCCGTTAAAGATAATAAACTATTGAGTTTTCTTGAGGTATCGTTGTTTCTATTGGTCTATATAATCGTCGCGACTGTGATCGTAGTCAACAAATCGTGTCATTTAACCTCTCCATTTAAGAAACGTTAAAAAAAAAAAAAAATCGATCTCTGATTTTCAACTTTTTCGACCGATCACAGCGTTTCGAATATGCGCGTTTAGTGACGCGTACGTTATCTGTCCTGCGGTTTTTTTTTCTTTGCATTTGTGTCATCCTGTAACAAAATATAAATCTCCGTATGCATTAGCTGCTTACGCCGTTCGGCTTGGGAGAAAGGGATAGTGGTTAATAATGGGCGTCAACTAGTACCCTACTTTGGGAGGCTTCTCTTTCGACATCTTTTTAATTAGCGCTGAGAGGTATAGATAGAAAGAGTGGGAGAGGGAGAAATAGAAGAGATAGAGTGGTACGAGCAAATCGCTATCGTTGGCTTCGCGCGAGTCGATGATACGGATGCAAGCTCGTACGCCGACCGAATCTGCCGATGCGCGATGGCCTAAATCTAAGTTTACGGTCATAAAAATAATTTGTCAAATATTTGTTTTCTAAAATACGTATGTATGTACGTATTAACGAAGGCGTCGTGGGCACGCATTTTATTTTTCGATCGATGTTTGCGTCACAGTGAAATATGCCTATCTATAAGACAAAATCATTTTCTTTTATCGATATGAACAAAAAAGAATGAGTCTCGCACGCGAATCGACTCGCATTTGCTGCAGTAAACCGCTCGTCGAACTTACATACATACATACGCGATCTGTAAAATAACATATATTATACTCGTAGTACACACGTCGAACGCACGTTCAAGCTGCACGCACGCGATCGATCCTATGAACACATTCGCACGTAGTAAGAGACTGGCAGTTGTAAAAGGACTAACGAGAGTTCAGAGATACGCTCGAGACAATGCTTACTGCGAGAAATAACGGGCTTATACGCGTACGAGCTCGTCGATTTATCGGACATGATGCCTAAAGCATTTCGAGTACGCGCTCGTTAACATAAAATGAAATGGAAATAGATTTAAAAACAATTCAATGTCGTTCGTAAAGTTCTCATCGATCATCGATCATCGATCATCGATGATCGATGATCGATGATCGATGATCGATGATCGATGATCGATGATCGACACTGAAATAGTAATCGAATTAAATATCTTCTAAATCAAATTGCATACTCTTCGTCATTTGAAATACGAACCAGTCATCATGCTTCTTACATACTTGGGCTTTTTCTAAACATCACAGTGCGATCGACAAATGATTCCATCCATAAACGTTACATTCGTATTGTTTTGGCATAAACGCTCTTTTTATACGCGTGTTCGATATATTTTGTTGTCTTGTTCTTGTATTTCTTATGTATAATTCTGTATCACGACACACATTCCTACTTTCGACGAGTCGACACACTAGACCGGTGTTCAACGCGTCGCCGAGCACCCTTGTCGATTTTACGATCGACCAGGATTAAGCGCGAAAATGGAGAACGACGCGTACGATAAAGTGCACGATATCGATCGATCGATTGATTGATCGATCGATCGATCGCTTCTCTCGCAATCACACGTAAAAGATATACTTATAGCATCGAGTCTTCTATATTACATTAGCAACATATTACACGCTCCATCGGACTTTTATCTCCTATCGTTTAGAGAGAATTTCGTACAAGAATCTTCAACGTTTCCTTCATCGTTCGTACCTACTTATTACCAATTTTTCCTATACAATCTTAAATAACTAAGCGTTTCTCGTCTGTATCTCTGTCTAGCTATATACATATATATATATATATATATATATATATATATATGTGTGTGTGTGTGTGTGTGTGTGTGTGTATGTGCGTGCGTGTGTCTGTGCGCGCGTATGTGTGTGTGTGTGTATACTCATAACGCAACGTTCGTTCAACATACGAGCGATGCAATTTTCACTTTTCTCATCACCGCAAACGTTGGTATTTCTTTAATTCGGGTTTTAGCGTCCATCTTGTTTTCCGTCCGTTTTCCTTAAGAGGCAACAAGAGGTTTTTTCAACTTCGTCTGCACCGTGATCGATAAGTGATCTCTTCTATCGGTCGACGAATAAACTTTGAGTTGTCACTCAAGAAACATATACTGTCTTAAATCTTGACGCATAACGCGACGTACATTGAAATTCCCACGTGTTCAATGTTCTTCGAATGTTGAAGCATTATCGAAAGAACGACTCAATAAATCACTTCGTAGACGGTGGCTTTTTTGTCGCCTGATCCTGTCACTATGTATTTGTCGTCATTGGAGATGTCGCAGCTGAGCACCGACGATGATTCCTTTGACTGTAAATAAGCAAAAAAAGAAAAGGATAAATTTACGTTGCATCATGTTAATTCATTAGATAAGGAAAGAGCGTAAACGCGAGGATTACCTGGAATATCGATGCTCCGTACGGCGTGCGCCAAGCATTCAACAAATTATCTTTGCCGGTTGAAACGAACCATTTGCCACAGGAGGCAAAACGTAACGAAAGGACACAAGATTCGTGCAAATGAAGTTGGAATTTGTCAGGTTTCGTTGCGTGAAGAACTTCGACGTTTGAATTTTCCATTCCGACCGCGAGCCATTCGTCGTTCGGACAATAACCAAGAGAAAATATTTGAGACGTGAAATCGTGTTGCTGTAGTTGTCTACCCTCTCGAAGATCCCAGGAACGTACTGTATTGTCGAGACCACCGGTCCAGAGTTTCGAGCCATTCGCAGATATGTCGATGCAAGAGGCACCGTCCGTGTGACCTTGAAATTGTCTAACCAACGTTTGATTTTGAAGATCCCACACGGCGATATTTCCGTCGCTGCAGCAACTGAAGCAGACCTTCGAGTCCGGAGAAATCGCTAAAGCGTAACAGGCAGGCGCGGAAGATGTTAATTCCGCTTTGATTCTCGGCGTTGGACTCGCAAGATCCCAGATGCTCAAGTTGCTCGCTTCACCACCTACGATGAGCGTTCTACCGTCCGGTAACAGTTTGACCGATCTGTAAGTCGCGATAGAGAAGACATCGTTGCTGTTAGTAATACCTAAGTAGAATCTGACGGATGAATATGTATCGTAGAAGCTTAGATAATCATTCAGACCTGATGTAATTGTCTCGTTGGAGGCAATCGAGTTGGGAAACCGGCTTTGCGCTGCCGCTCCCGCCTTGACTGATGTCCCAGACCTTGACACACCCTTTGCCACCGGTGTAAACGTACTTGGTCGGATTCGAGATCGTCACAGCACAGACCACTTCGCCGTGAGTGAGAGTATTTATTTGACGCGCGTGTCTGGGTATTCCTGGTGCTGCGAGAGCGTCAGGTGGAAACGGTACCGGTTGCATTTGTCCGTCGCTCAATACGTGGAAGCTGTAGGCTCTGCGAACGAACACTCTATATATATATATATTCCATCTTCTACTCGTAGAAAAGCGAAAGAACGAAGAAACGAAGAGACTTACGGTTTTCCACCGGGTACACCGAGTGGTCCGAGTGGTGCTCTCATACTACCGTGAGGATCATAAAGCTGTTGGAGTGGCGGTCTAGCGGGATATCCGTTCAAAGCGGCAGGAGGATAGCCGAGCATATCCACGTGAGGTCCTGCGGGCGGATGATGCGGCGGAGGATAATGAGGTGGATAGGGGCCTACCGCCGAAGCGGAGACAAGAGGCTTACTAGAACTCGATGGCTTTAGACCACCCGAACCCGAACTACTGCCACCTGTGTCGAGTAAAAACATATTCTTTTTTATCTATATTCCTTCGGTAAATTTATCCATAGAAAATTAATAGAAGAGGGAATCTTTCACGTACCTGCCGAAGTAGGCGTAACTGGTTTTGAAATAGGAGTGGTAGCTTTTTCTCGTTCCTCCATTTTCTTTGCGGACGGGGTACTTGCGTTGCTACTGGTACCGCTTCTAGGCGATGGAGGTGGTACTTCCTTTTTGACTTGTCCGCTCAAAGGCACCGAGGAAGGTCCTAACTTGTCAAGGCCATTCTCTCTCGGTGAGGTAGTACCATTCGCAGCAGGACTCGTCGGTCCTTCGCTAGCATCGTCGACCACCAAGTCCTGGTCGCTCTTTTCACCATCGCTTTGCTGTCGCAGAGAACGTGCACGGCTTTATTAAGGCGAACCGAATGATCTTACAACATGGAGTAACATGCGGGCTACCTACATGGCCTATATCCTTGTCTTGTTCCTTCTTCATCTTTTTCAAGTGTAGGTGCTCGTGATGCTGAGGATCCGGTGTGCTACGGGGTCTACTGTACTTTTCGCGTTCCGCCGGCGATATCGAGCTCCTCTGAAACGTTAAAAACTTCGTTACTTGCATTTATTGCATGTATTGGCTGATTTTAAATAAAATGCATATCGATTATATAAAATAACGTATTTGAATATTCATGGAAATTCAATACAACTCTTCCGACAAATCCAAAATTATTTTCGATATTCGATCGATCGAATCCTCGCGGACATGTCGAGAGACGATTTTCGTAAGCGTTAAACGGTCTCGCGCCGCTGAAAATAATCGTCGCGACTGGCCGATTATGTGGGTGTCACCGAGAGCGAGCTCGGTGTAGATAATCGTTTACACGTAGAGGAGAGGGATGGAGAGAGAGAGAGAGAGAGAGAGAGAGAGAGAGAGAGAGAGTATCGGATGTGGGGTGTTGCGGAGGAGGCAATAGAGCGAGTGGAACGAGGAGAAAGTATCGAGATCGAGGGTGGCCTGTAAAACGAGGACGGTGTTAGAGTGTATCACGTGAAATCTCTCGCATCCGTGATACGAGCCGCTCTTTCGCCCACGGTTAATGCGATTTCGTCGATTTCATCGCGGCTTTTTACAGCCTGCAATTTCGCTCCTCGTTGGATTTTCACGGAAGAGTCGTGAGAGAGGAAGCCAGCCAAAAGATTGCTCGCAATGAAGCCTTCTACTTGGATCGGATAATTTTCAACCATTTTTCGGATTAAATAAAAAATGTCTTTATAAAAACTTCTTTAAGAGATCACATTCTCACGCTTAAAATCTCGAAAGAAATTTGGTAACATTCATATATACTCTCGGCTAAGTATCTCTTTTGTTGCTGAGAATCGTATCATTGAACCTATATTCTTTCCCTCGCGCAACGATATCGAACGGTCGTAAAAATTCCGGAATCGTATTTCGAGGAAAGACTAGATGTACGATAGAAGTGATATTAAAGAGATAAATCGATGCTACATCGTTATCCTGTTTCTTCGTATAACAAGAAGAGACATCGATGCGTTCAATCTATTTTTTTTCTTTTTTGCTCTTTTCTTTTCGACGAAACTTTAGCGAATTATTATCTCCGTCATATTTCGCAATGACAATGAATAATTTAAACAAAAAGAAAATGAAACGGTATATGCCTTTTGAGAGGAACAATATTAATAAAAGTCTCTTTCTTTTGAAAGGACACTTATCGACATATAGCGACATCCATCGACAGTGGAAGATATTATCGAAAGGGAAGTTTTACGAGCGACAGTTTTGTCCTCGATACAGGATAGCATTTTCTCTCTCTTTTTCTCTCTTTCTCTCTATCTTTCTTCCGTCTGTTCCCCTCACTCTGTCGATTAGATATCGGTACTCTTTCCTAGCCCCGATAACAGCGTACCATCTTGCAGAGCACCGTAAACCATCCCCCTTTTGCCTCGTCCATCCTCCGGCACTTCCGAAGTAAATCTCCTCTTCTCAATTACCCCGTCCCTGTTGCCACCACCCCGGTACTTCATCCACCAATAGCAACGCCAACGGTGGTGGCAGTGGCGGCGCCACCTTTAGCTCGGTCCATTACCTCGACACCTCGCTATCCTCTCCTCCTTTTCTTCCTCCTCCTCCTCCTTTTTCTCCTCCATGACCCTAGCAAGCTCATCGAGTGGAAGGAAAATAAAAAGGAAAAAGGAGGCGGCTTTCGAGTCAGGATCGCGTAGCTAAAAGAACGATCCTTCTATCGACGAAGAGAAAAGAGAAAAGAGGAGAGAGAGAGAGAGAGAGAGAGAGAGAGAGAGAGAGAGAGCAGGATGATTCGCGATTAAATCGACGCTCGGCCGAAAACG